TGATGCTAGTGGCAACATGGCGGATCAAAAAATATATCGGTCTATGATTGGAAGCCTACTCTATGTGACCACATCATGGCCGGATGTTATGTTTAGTGTATGCATGTGTGCAAGATTTCAAGCCTCACCAAGAGAAAGTCATTTGAAGGCAATAAAAAGAATATTGAGGTACTTGAAGCATACACAAAATGTTGGTTTGTGGTATCCCAAAGGAGCAATGTTTGAGCTAGTTGGTTACTTTGACTCGGATTATGCGGGATACAAGGTTGAAAGGAAGAGCACCTCGGGCATATGTCAATTGTTGGGAAGATCACTTATTTTATGGTCATCAAAGAAACAAAATAGTGTTGCATTATCAACCGCCGAAGCCAAATACATATCCATCGGTAGTTGTTGTGCACAAATACTTTGGATGAAGGCCACCTTGAATGACTTTAGAATCAAGTTTAAGAAAGTGCCTTTGCCATGTGACAATGAGAGTGCAATCAAGTTAATCAACAATCCGGTTCAACATGCAAGAACAAAGCACATTGATGTCCGCCATCATTTCATAAGAGATCACCAACAAAAAGGGGATATTTGCATTGAGAGTGTAGGCACCGAGGGACAACTTGCCGATATCTTCACCTAGCCACTTGATGAGAAGAGGTTTTACAAGCTAAGGAATGAATTGAACATAATTGACTTCTTAAATATGTGTTGATGCACCCCCCCATTATATGATATGCCTCTCCTTCAAGTAAAGCAGGGTAAAGTTGATTGACATGTCATTCATCCATTGTTAAGGACTTGTTTAGTGCATCTAGTCATTTCTATCATGTACTAGGCTCATTCATTAAAATCAAATGAATTAGATGTTTGTATGGTACCACTATTGCTTCTATACTTAATTTGGTCTAGTGGTAGCATATGACATGTTTGTGGGCTTATAAACCTAGTGTTTGATCTAGAAAATGTGCTCTAAGTGTTTAACTCAATATGGTACAAGATAACCCTTATTTGGAGGTGTGAAGAAGCTTATCCTTGGATCAAACCGAGTTAAATATCTTTTGTAAGTGATCTAGATTGAACCAAATTAGAAAAATAATCCTCACTTCACATGATTTCACCCCAACCTATCTATATTTGAGCTCGCCTTTTGTGCTAATTATTGACAAAGGGGGAGAGAAATTCACAAAGATAGTAAGATAGGGGAAGCAAACAAATGAAATGACATTGTAAGGGGATCAATCAAGTAGGGGGAGCAAGCTCATAAACTTGTATGTTACATTTGAATGTGCATTTCATATATTTGCTTGCATGGCACAAGTTTTAAATATAAATATCCATGCTTGTGTGGTGTATGCTAGTTGTAGGTTTAAATGATGAAATAAAAAACTAGCATGCATAGGTTAAGTAACTAGACTCATGCTCACATTATGAAAACTAGACCCTTACTTCTAACGTTGATCTCATGGGTATTCTAGTTTTTGTGTATGTCTAGTTACTAATGGTGCTAAGGATGGTATATTGGTACACATATTGGTATCACGCTTCAAAGGTCCATCTCTTATACCTTAGCATCATTTGGTAGCCATTGACTCCTATATTTCCTATCTAAGCATGTGTGTAAGCTACAATCCAAACTCGTAGCACATATGTAGGGGGAGAAATTGCTATCATTTGGGGTTCATGAAACTTGTCCATATCTTTTTACACATAGTAAATATGTTTGGGCAAGCAACATGGATTGAATTAAATTTCAATTCATATTTTTGTGTAAGGGTTGTCATCAATTACCAAAAAGGAAGAGATTGAAAGCTCTAGTTTGGTTTTGGTGAATTGATGAAACCCTAAGTGCTAACCTAGTTTATCAAAGTGATTATGAGATAGGTAGCACTACTCCAAGTGATTAAGCAAATGAAGATCATGATATGATAATGGTGATGGCATGGTGATGATTAAATACTTGGACTTGGAAAAGAAGAAAGAAAAACAAAAAACTCAAGGCAAAGGTGAAATTGATAGGAGCTTTTTGGTTTAGTGATCAAGACACTTAGAGAGTGTGATCACATTTAGGATCGATAGTCGTACTATTAAGAGGGGTGAAACTTGTATCAAAATACGGTTATCAAAGTGCCACTAGATACTCTAACTCATTGCATATGCATTTAGAATCTAATGGAAAGCTAACACCCTTGAAAAATATTTGTGAAAATTTGCTAACACACGTGCACAAGGTGGTACACTTGGTGGTTGGCACATTTGAACAAGGGTGGAGAAGTTGGTGAATCAAAGGAGGTGTTTTTCACTGTCAAACAGTGACCGGACGCTGGTCACGTGGTGACCGGACTCTGGGGAGCAGCGTCCGGTCAATTATAAAAGAAGATGGTACTCTTGGCCTGAGATCGGACGCAGGCGACTGGACTCTGGCTAAACACTGTTCAGCGTCCGATCATGCTGATGTGGCGACGCACAGAGAAGAGGGAGAGTGATTGGACGCTGGGCGAGTCCGGTCGGGCGTGACCAGACGCGTTCGGTCGCTACTAGAACCTTACTGGAAGTGACCGGACGCTAGGCAACTATGTGTCCAGTCCTACACTGTAGTGCGTTCAGTCACAACTTAAGTGTACTGATGACCGTTGAGATCGGGCGATCAGCATTTGAAGCAGGGGACACGTGGCGAAAATCTAAGGACCGGACGCTGGGGTCCTACGTCTGGTCAATTTGACCGGCACGTCCGGTCGCCCCGATTTCTCAGTGAACAGAGAGCCAACGGCTCTATTCGTGGGGGCTCTCTATTTAAGCCACATGGCTGGCTCAAGCTCACTCTCTTGGCCATTTGCATTAACATAGCAACCTTGTGAGCTTAGCCAAAGCCCTTTCACTCATCTCCATCATTGATTCATCATCTTTGTGAGATTGGGAGAGAATCCAAGTGCATTGCTTGAGTGATTGTATCTAGAGGCACTAGGTGTTCGTGTTTCGCTGCCGGATTCACTTGTTGCTCTTGGTGGTTGCCACTACCTAGACGGCTTGGTGCAGCGAAAAAGGATTGGCACGAGTTGGTGATTGTTCATGGCCATCTCCCGGTGATTGTGAGGGGACTTGTGCCTTCCCCAGCGGAGCGCCGAAAGGTAAGCCTAGTGGAATGCTCGTGTCATTGAGTTACCTCACTTGTGGGTAGGTTCTTGCGGTGTCCAATTGTGTGGATGAGGTTCGTGCAACACCTCTTAGCCGTTGAGCCACCAAGTGTTGGTCGACACAATGGGGACGTAGCGTGTTGGCAAGCACGTGAACCTCGGAAGAAAATTGGTTGTCTCTTGCCCTTTGGTATTCTCCTAATGATTGAGTTAGTATTCATCTTGTGATTGGTTCACTCCTCTATGCGACGGTATAATCACCTTACTTACTCATTTACATACCCGCAAACTAGTTGTAGTAAGCTCTTTAGTGTAGCTAGAATTGAGAGCTTGCTTTGTAGCTTAAGTTCATCTAGTGGAGCTCTTTAGTGTAACAAGTGTGAGAGATCTTAGTGGGTAGTGACTTAGTAAATTGTGTGTCTAGTGATCATAGTAACTAGAATTATTGGATAGGTGGCTTGCAACCCTTGTAGAGCTAGAGCAAGTTTGCTTTTCGCTATTTGTCATATTAATCAAATTACTCTAGTTGGTTTATAGATTTTTAAATAGGCTATTCACCCCCCTCTAGCCATATTAGGGCCTTTCACATGGTCTCCAATATGACAACTTAGCTAGTACTATATATAAAGATATATTATCATAGATAGAAATGGGTATATGTTATGAAACTATTTTTTACAGCTGAATTTGGTAATGCCAATTTTGTGTTGTCATCTGTATATACATAGTTTCAAATATTATGGCAAAAATGGCATAGGAAAAACCATGTGGACATATATTTGTGATAGGAGAAAGTAGCACTATATCTTATGATCAGAGAAAGTAGCACTATCCCTAACTATAGAAAAAACGAATATGTGACATTTGCCTTAATTACCTTAACTAATAACAATGGAATACGTTGTGAATGCATTATATCTCCATGAACACATAAGCATTCATTATAAAAGAGACGATTGGCACCTTTACGATGTATAATATAAGTCACATAGTTTCTCAAGTATAGATCAAGTCGAAACAAGAACAAAATGAATGGTAACGGCAAGTCGGTAAAACCATGTAACCAACCTAAACTGTTACTGACTGCTGAATTCTGACAAAGTGATAATAAAGGAACACGATAAATTGCCATAACCAACAAAATGAATGGTAACGGCAAGTCGGTAAAACCATATAACCAACCTAAACTGTTATTGCCCGCTGAATTCCGACAAAGTGATAACAAAGGAACACGATAAATTGACATAACCATAAAACGGACCATATAGAATTGAGACACTAAGCATCCAAACAGATACTAAAAGTATACTATCTCCAGTTATCGAGTGGAGTTACTAGATTAATGTTTAGATCCAAAAATTTACAAAAAAAGTATACTATCTCCAGTTATCTGCAGTCATGCTATTGAAGTTAGCCTAGACTAAGCATCTTACCACGACCATCCTACCACTTGACACTAGATTAAACCCAAATGCAGGTACTACAACGGTACAAATGTTGTTCACACTTGACAGCATGCATAACAGCTACCAAGACTCAAGAGGCACCAAAAACTGAAAACAAACAGCACAATGCACAAGCTGCACAACTGGAAGCCAACCCAAACACGCACGGGGCAGAACAAAATCAACGCGCTTCCCCAAACACGCACGGGACGCCCTCCCCTCCCCACCGCCGCCTTTTATCGCTAACGCCACCCGTTTTTGTGCACACACGGCTACGCCAGCGGCCGATACATACGCCTCCCCTCACCGACCAGCCTTCCCAGTCCCCACTACTGCGACTGCGAGACAGCGCAGCACAGGCTGCCGCCCGCTGGCCGCTGCGAGAAGAGAGAATCCAAGAACGCGCAGGAACCCCCCCTCGTCACCAGCGTCCATGGGCGGCGCCGCGGGCGAGGCGATGTGGGCCGCTGCTGTGGCGGCGACGGTGGCCTTCTTGGCCGTCGAGGTTTCGGGTGCCGCGGGGGCGTTGCCGAGGTTTGCGGAGGCGCCGGAGTACCGGAACGGGGAAGGGTGTCCGGCTGCGGCGGCGGGGGTGTGCGACCCGGGCTTGGTGCACATCGCCATGACGCTGGACGCGCACTACCTGCGGGGCTCCATGGCGGCGGTGTACTCGCTGCTGAAGCACGCGTCGTGCCCGGAGTCCATCTTCTTCCACTTCCTGGCCGCGGAGGCGGCCGGGGCAGCAGCGGACGGCGGGGAGGACCCGGAGCCGGAGCTGCTGCGGCGCGCGGTGGCGGCGTCGTTCCCGTCGCTGCGGTTCGAGATCTACCCGTTCCGCGCCGAGGCCGTGGCCGGGCTCATCTCGGCGTCCGTGCGCGCCGCGCTCGAGGCGCCGCTCAACTACGCGCGGAACCACCTGGCGGACCTGCTCCCGCGCTGCGTGCCGCGGGCGATATACCTCGACTCCGACGTGCTGGCCGCCGACGACGTGCGGCGCCTCTGGGAGACGCGCCTCCCCGCCGCCGCCGTGGTGGCGGCGCCCGAGTACTGCCACGCCAACTTCTCCCGCTACTTCACGCCGGCGTTCTGGTCCGATCCGGAGCTCGGGCCCCGTGTCTTTGCGGGGCGCCGCCGCCCGCCCTGCTACTTCAACACCGGCGTCATGGTCATCGACCTCCGCCGCTGGCGCGCCGGCAATTACCGCCAGCGCATCGAGCGCTGGATGGAAATCCAGAAGGTGAAGCGCATCTACGAGCTGGGCTCCCTGCCCCCGTTCTTGCTCGTCTTCGCCGGCGAGGTGGAGGCCGTCGACCACCGCTGGAACCAGCACGGCCTCGGCGGCGACAACGTCCACGGCAGCTGCCGCCCGCTCCACGCCGGGCCCGTCAGCCTCATGCACTGGTCGGGCAAGGGCAAGCCCTGGGACCGCCTCGACGCCGGCAGGCCGTGCCCGCTTGACCACACCTGGAAGTCCTACGACCTCTACATCCCCAGCGACTCCGGTGGCGCCGCCTCGCCGGCGTCCGGGCCGGCATTGTCCGCATCCGTGCTCTCATGGTAGAGAGAGAGCTTCTAGTTCCATAGTTGCAACAGTTCTTTTGCTGGTTGAGAGGTTCTTGGCAGTGGCAATGTGCCCCATTGCATTGCATTGTCTTGCTGCGGCTGTTGCCGCCGCCGCTGTGATCTAGCTGCTGCTCGTGGTGGACTGTACAGGGCGGCCAAGGGAGCGGCGGTGGCGACATGGCAGGGGAAATCAGGAATGAGTTGGTAGAGAAGGGGAGCTTTTTGCTCTTTGGGGTAGAATTCAGATTGGTTATTTGGGGGGATTTTGATTCTTTTTGGTCCGGCAGGTGATTCTTGCATTGGGGTTCCCAATTCTCTCGATTTGAGGTGTAAAGACTTGGAATTTTGTTCTATTATTGATCATTCTTTCATTCACTTGTCATGCCTTCTTGACCTGAATTCTTATTACTATATGGTGACATGATTTGCTTTTTTACTTTTATTATTAGATGAGCTGAACCGAACTGTGTTGAAATGCCCTTGTATATGATGTTAATTCTCTGTCAAGTGTCAGACAGGCTTATCTCCTCTGCAATGGTTCTTTGTAATGCCCAATAATTCTCGATTGAATTTGGCAAATGAGGTGAGGAGCATAGCTGGCAGTACAGTACATTGAAGATTCATGGACCTGAAATGTAGCATTGGTCCATTGGACCTGATACATCTGTCTTTGAACGAAATGTTCTAACCTGGCTATTCATCTGCAGTTGGTCTGTTTGTGATGTACTCATCCTACCAGTGATCGATATCTATTCCCTCCTATAATCTCTGTACCTAGTACTTCAATTCTGTATCAATTGTACATTCTACCTCTTATTGGCCATGCTGAAGGCTGAATTGTAGCATTGGCATTTGAATGTCTGTTTCTGGAACATGCCGATTTCTCCTGCAGTCAATTATTTCCTGATGTTATATTTTCTTTGGCATGTTCGCTGATTGGTTTTTGGGCTGATAAGCTCGACTAGTGCTAGTTTGTTGTGAGAGGAAAATACTATACCATGGCTGATAAGCCCTAGCTGAAACCAACGAGATAAGCCCTGGCTAAAACAATGAGTGTCTATTCCTATTGTACCGATTTTTAGGTTAGAATTCAATACTCCGCACAAGAGGCCTGTGACCGGAAACTTTAAGGGTCTGTTCGGTTGGTATTAAAGTCGGTTGAAGCTGTTTTATTGTGAGAGAAAAATATTATAGATTTTAGCTAATAAATCGACTGATAAGTTCAAGCGAACATGCACTAAACTTTCTGCTGACTCATGAGAAGGTTTTACAATTAATTTCCAACCTGTTTTAATCTTGCTCGAAAACCACACAAATTTAAGACAAATGAACGTGCAGAGCCATAGAAAAGAATGCTGCTGCGAGCAATTGTTAAGTAGAAAAGGGCCTCGTTCACTTTGAAAAAAAAAAGTGAACTTGATGAAAAAAGACAAATTTAAGATAAGCAAACGGGCCCGTAGAATATTTGAACGTGCAGAGACTCGAATCGTGAGAATGCTGCTGCGAGCACTTGTTAAGTATATTAGGATAGTATCTCCAAATATGATAGATTATGATGTAATCTTGGCTTGCCTTATTTTAAGGGAGACTTCTCGTACCATAAACACTTCTATATAATCCGGCAACCAAACTTAGCAATACAATCGACTATCCCACCAATTCTTTTCCAACACTAGTACCCATATTGGTAATAGTTGTCCTGTTCTGCTGTACTACTTCAGCCGTACTTTTTAGCGAAATAGCAGTGTTTTTCTCCCACAGCATTTCAGCATAAGCTAAATTTCAACGAAATGAACAGATGTGTACGAGTAATTTCATTAAGACAATTCCCTGTGTGCCATTAAAAAAGATCGTAATGCCATGTGTGTCTCTGGAAAAGTTCAGCGGTCTTCAACGCCATTACTCCAACTTTTTGTGTCATCCATGCCACTTCCGTCAGTTTGAGCTCTAACGTCGTCAAATTGCAGGTGTGAAAAGACGAAAATACCCTTAAGTCTAAATATGTTATTATTTTTTTTAACATCTTAACGACTTCAAATGAAAAAACTCAAAACTAGAAAGTTATAGATCTCGTCGAGATCTATAATTTTTATATAAAAATTATTTTTATTTAATTCCAAAAAAAAAATATGATTTTTCTAAGATATATTAATCAAATAAAGAAAATATATAGATAATCGAGATATCAAAGTTTTAGTTTTTTCATTTTTTAAGATGCAAAAAATTAAAAATATAATTTGATATGATTTTTTTTTTCACACCGCAGCTTGACGCGTTAAGAAAGGCAAACTGATTTAAACATAGAGGACATGAAAAGTTATTATCATTGAACTTTTTTAATGGCACACATAGGGCATTAAATTTTTTTAATAGACACCTATGAAAATTCCCCTATTTCATTTAGGGAGGTGCATGTTTTGCTTAAATTGCGACCAAAAGTTGATGGTTCGAGACTTGAGAAGCTATACAAAACATACGGCCTAAGGTGCTGGTACTCGGAGTCGGAGCATAAAGGATGTGACCGCTGCATGTCAAAGTTTACTCGCTTTTTATACACAAGCAAATCGCACCACAAGAAAGGTGAGCAACCAACTAATGACCAGCTAGGGAACTGCGAGCAAGCTGCAAGGCAGTGCACATTTGCAGTGCACCTAATCATTGCCAATATTCTGTCTCCCGTCGCTTGCTTCTTTCTAATCCAAGCCTCACCTTTTGGCCATTCTTTTCCCTCCTTTTTATTTCTGCTGCCCATACGCACGATCGCACGAAGAACCGTGACGAGCTCCTCTCCTCCACCCGTCGTCGCTCATCGGCCACCCCTATTCAATATCCCGTCACATGGATGGACAACAGCTGCGTGTTTAAAGGAAAGGGCAGTGGTATTGGCGAACCGGTGGTGATGGATGGATCATGAATGATGGTGGTGCATGTCGCGCAAGGGCGACATCGTTTTCAGGTGGTGCCGTCACAAGTGTTTATTTCCATTCCATGTCTGTCACGTTATTCGCCAGAGCATCCAAAGTGGTGTACTATAGCTGCTTCTGTGGTGATCCCAGTTTACACCCATCAGAGCATCCAAAGCAAAAGCAAAGCTTCCCGGAGTGGGTTCTCGTAACATAGCATCGTCCTCGTCGTCCTTGCAGATCGCCGCCACCTCCCGGTTGGTCGTATCAAAATCGGGCACCATTCATGAACGCTGCCGTGGCGTGGCGCCTCTATAACGGCACGGCGGCGGCCACCGAAAATGAGGCCTGCGGCGGGCGGACCTGCCGGCAGAAATAATTCGGGGTTTCAAAGCTTCCGTTTCCGCGGCAGGCCGTAATGGCCGGCGCTGGATTTCGGCCGGGAAATGCCTGACCGTTTGCGGAAACTGCCGCCGTGCGCCGTTCTTTTGCATGCAGGGGTAGCAGCACACAGGACGCGTTTGGTTGCGGGATTTATTCGGGAATGGACATGGAGAAGAGGACGAATGAATGAACGAACGATCAGCAGCAACTGCCTGCCGTTAATAGTAGGAGACGGTTGATACTTGCACAAACGTAAAAGTGAAATACTTGCACATTTATACAGATTTGCTCCCAGAACATAATTCAGGTGCGACATTGAGATCACTTAATGCCATCCATTCAGCATGGCAAAATGGCCATACTTCCAGAATGTCTGAACATATATGCAGACTTTGCATAAGGTGTGGCAATGCTCCTAGAATACTTGCAATATATATATATATATAGAACAACTACCCTATAGCGGGCTATAAAATAACTTATTCTGTAGCCACTTTGAATTACGATAATTACTATGTTAATTTACGAGATTATAGTAACTCCTTACTAAGCGGTTTACTATAACGTTATGGTAAATATCCCCATGTGTTATAGTAACCCACCTATCGTAAATATGTATTGACATTATCGTAAATTAATATATAAAATTATCGTAAATGAAGGTGGCTACATAATAACTTATTTTGTAGTTGGCTACTGAATATACTCTCTATATATATATATATATATATATATATATATATATATATATATATATATATATATATATATATATATATATATATATATATATATATATATATATATATATATGCCAACTAAAGATGCAGGTCTTTGGTAGCTGCGGTTACTGGTTAGACAGCTGGTTGAATCTGACGTTACATGTGTCATCCTGTGAGTATAATTCAGAGTGTTGGGATCACAGAGGTATATAAATATACGTGTGGCTCATGCGGTCATGCCGTCATGGACAAGATTAATTGGTTTGCTTATTCCGGTGGGCCCCTGTAACTTCGCGGCGACGATCAAGAGCTGGACAAGCCTGTTGTTTTACATGTAGTTCTATTCATGATAGGGTGCAGTGTTCGCTCCCAGCGGCGCCACCACTGTAGCGCGTCTCCGTCGTCGGCTGTCACGCCTCACGCGAGGGTAAAACTGGGCTCGCTTTGTGGGCCAAAGCGGGCGGAATTCGTGGGCTGGCGGAATTGGTATCTGCTAGTTTTGACGAACCTGCCGTCCGATGGTCCCATGGGCGTTCCAGTGGTATGCCCTCTATTTTTTATAAGATGTTTTGGTCCTTTGTTGGCGATCATGTTAAAAAAGAAGTACTAGATGTCCTTAATGGAGGGCCAATGCCTGTAGGCTGGAACGATACTATTATTGTCTTGATACCCAAAATAAGCTCACCACAAGTATTAAAAGATTTCCGGCCAATTAGTTTATGCAATGTGTTATATAAATAGATTAAAGAAAGTCTTGCCAGATATCATCTCCCCTTCTCAGAGTGCTTTTATTCCAGGACGATTAATCACAGACATTAAGTTAGACATGAGCAAAGCATATGATAGGATCGAATGGCCCTTCTTAAAAAAGATGTTCATAAAGATGGGCTTTAATTCAAAATGGGTGCAGCTTCATATGAACTGTGTGACCTCGGTTACTTACAAAATCAAAGTTAATGGAGGGTATACTCATCGAATTTGCCCCCAAAGAGGTTTAAGACAAGGCAATCCTCTTTCCCCTTATTTATTCATTTTATGTGCAGAAGGTTTATCAGCAATGCTGCAAAAAACTGAACAAGAGGGAAGGATTGAAGGCATTAAGATTTGTCAAAACGCATCAAGAGTAAACCATCTATTTTTTGCTGATGATTCTTTGATATTGATGAAAGCAAGGGCAAGTGATACGCTAGAACTAAGACGTATCTTGGAAGTATATGAACAGGCATCTGGACAAGTAATTAACAGAGATAAATCATCAGTTATGTTTAGTCCCAACACAAGTGAACAAATTAGGTGTCAAGTCAGATCCAACCTCTCCATTGGGTGTGATGCAAGGAGCGAACGCTATTTAGGATTACAGATTTCGGTGGGGAAATAAAAAAAAGAAAGTATCTGAGTACATCAAAAAAGAAGGTCTGGAGCAGAATTCATGGCTGGCAGGAGAAACTCCTCTCCAAAGTCGGCAAAAGAATTTTATTAAATGAAACTCGGGAGGCCGATCGTCTCGTGGATTATTTATCTTGTTGGCTGGTTTGGTGTGAGAGAAAAACTGTTCCTACCGGAAATTTACGATCGTTCTGAAGCAATTATTAAGGCGGTAGCACAATCCATTCCCACTTGTGCTATGTCATGTTTTGATCTTACAAAGGACCTATGTGATGAGCTAAGTATGATTAATGGGAGATATAGGTGGAGTCAAATGGACAAAATAAATAAAATCCACTGGCTTAGTTGGGAAAAGCTAACCTGATCTAAGAAGAAGGGTGCCCTAGGTTTTCGGGATTTGCACCTCTTTAATCTAGCAATGTTGAGTAGGCAAGCGTGGAGATTGCTTACTAATCCTAATACACTTTCAGCATGATCGGCTGGGCTTATTCCCTCGTAAACGATCGTAAATTTCCAGCCGGAATAGTATTTTTCTCTCACACCAAACCAGCCAGCAATACTTCTTCACGATCCAGCGACGAACAAGCCCAACCAAACGAACAGGCTATTTGTGCGCAGGTTTTAAAAGCAAGATACTTTTTAAATTCAAATATTCTCCATTGCACTCCTCGAGCTAGAATATCGTATACTTGGAGAAGTATTTGAGAGGTGCTGAACTATTGAAGGAAGGACTTATATGGCGAATTGGGAATGGGGCTGATGTAAAAATATGGAAAGATCCATGGCTACCCAAAGGCTCCACAAGAAAACCAATAACACCTAGGAGGTCCTGCTTGCTGTCAAGAGTTAATGAGCTTATAGATCCAACAACTGGTGAATGGGATGAGCGGCTAATATGTGATATTTTTTGGCCAGAGGATACAACAGAGATATTAAGAATTCCAATCAATCAGCATATGCAAGATTGGCCCGCTTGGTATTTTGATGCGAATGGATTATTTTCAGTCAAATCAGCTTACAAGATAGCTGTCGTGAGAAGAGATGCTCTTACAGGAAGGGACTCTTCTAGTTCTGGATGTGCAAATGGGTATGAAGGTGATTTCCAATGGATTAAGATATGGCAACTCAAATCCCTAACAAAATCAAAATGTTTATATGGCACCTAGCACATAATAGCCTTCCTGTTAGAAGAAATGTGGCCAGGCGTGGTGTAGAATTAGATACCATCTGCCCAGTTTGTAAAAAGGCTTGACGAGGATTGTGGGCATCTCTTCTTTAAATGTAAGTATGCAAAGTTGTGTTGGCGTTTATTAAATATGGAAGATATCAGAACTGAATTGGTGTCTTGCCAATCTGGAATTGAAGTAATTAGTAAGATATGGGAATTGGAGAAGAATATACAACTAAATGTTGTCTTGCTTTGGAGATATATGGTGGTCGGCAAGAAACAGGGCTAATAATGGTGGGAGGATGCCGAGTGTGAATGAGATTGGTGGCTCTGAATCCTACCACCTGATGGAATTTGAAAAGCTTCATGGGAATGAAAAGAAAATAACATGTGCAGCTCAGTGCACATGGAGACCTCCACAAGAGGATATTTACAAAATTAATTCTGATAGATCATTTGACCCAACTAAAAGATCTGGAGGATGGGGCTTTCTGACAAGGAACAACAATGGGGAAGTGCTAGCAGCTTGTGCAGGGAATATTTCTTATGCTTCATCGGCATTGCATCTGAAGCAATTGCGGCCTACAAAGGTGTACTTCAGGCCGCACAATTGGGAATGTCGCAAATTGTCTTGGAAATGGATGCCACAATGTTAGTTGTTGCCGTCAAGTCGTCAAGTGTAGACCGAAGCAGCATAGGTGCTCTGGTCTTCAAGATACGAGATGTTATGCAATCCGAGTTTTCTTCATGTACTGTCTCGTTATGTAATAGAAATTGTAATAAGGTGGCAGATTGTTTAGCTCTCCACGGAGCTTATGTGTTGGAGTCTGGCTCAGATATGTTAATGAGCCAAGTACCTTCATGATGGACCTCGTAAAAGGCGATTTGCCTGTGAGTGGTGTTTAATGTAGATGCTTTTCTGGAAGAAAAAAAAACCAACGTTCCTCTCCCTCTGGAGCCGGCTCCTTCCCGCCTCTCTCTCTCTCTCTCCCCACGTTTGTGGCGCAACTGGGTGACCGCCGCCGCCGCCGCCGCGCCCTACATCACGTGCCCGGTTCTAGACCATCGGAAACCGAGCACCTGCACGCTAACTTAAATCTATTTATAGGTATTTGTATTTGGATCTGATCTAATTACAGTTCACTCCTATATATGTTCCTAATAAAATTGATTGTTTTTTGGCAAAAGTTATTGGGTGTATGTATGTCAGCCGTGTTATAGCTCCGGTCCTGTGTATTTTTAAACCGGCTTAATTTTTTTTTTATCTAAAACATTATTTTCCTCCCATAAATTCATTCAGATTCGATTCACGTAGATTCCTTCGAATTCCTTAGAACGGGGCCATATATACACAACCAACAGAGGAACCCACACCGACCTCAATCCCAATCCAATCCGTCGCAGGTCGCAGGATGCCTCCGCCGCGTGAGCACCACCAGCCCCAGGAGGAGGACGACGATGACACCGCAGGCGTCGTCAAGCTCATCAGCGCCGAGGGCTTCGAATTCGTCGTCGACAAGAAGGCCGCCATGGTCTCCAACACCCTCCGCAACATGCTCACATCGCCAGGTAGGGTACCCTTCATCACCTCTTCCTATCCATCAGCGCGCCGTCCTCGCATCGCATCGCATCATCCATCCCTCTGGTCATCCTCACCAGGCGGCTTCTCCGAGACGCGCCAGGGCGAGGTCCGCTTCCCGGAGATCCCCACCCACATCCTCGAAAAGATCTGCCAGTATTTCTACTGGTCGCTCCATTACTCCAGGTTCCTATGCTTACTTTCCACTTTCGAAATCGTCATCCCTTTTCCCCTTCCAGGCTTTCACCAATAAGACAATAACCCGCTTGTTACTTTTAGGCAGCCCATTCACAGTTTGCTTAACCAGCGAAATCTGCCATTGATTGATGCTATTTAGAATCTGTACTACGTTACATATTATTTTGTGTTTTTCAGTTCTCCCTCTGCCCCCAATTATTCATTTATGAGTTTTGCATTAGTTTGGTAACCTGTAATAAATTCTTGAACTAGTTCCTAAATATCCAGAGCAAAGCGCTCTCTGATGGATTTTATTTTCCCCTCCTTATTCCTGTTCTCCACAGTTCGTGTGTAGGGTAAAACGACCTATTTGCATCTAATAATCTATTGAGAACCAGCAACAACAACTCCATCGTTCTATGGCTCTTTGTCGGAGTTCACATATTCTCCTTGGGAATTATATCCACAAGAGATTGACACACGGCCCGTCAGAACAATGACAAATCTTACCATGTTTTGTAGCATGCATCACTGTTCTGTCTTTCATGTCATTGTTCACTTGTTCAGTGGTCCAAAACAAACCGAGTGTGGCAATTTAGAATTTTACCTTCTGACAAAGCAACTTAATCAGCTTTTAGAATATTCCATCTTGCTACCTAATTGTGCACAGGGTGCTTAGTGTTTAAGTCCAATCTACATCAATTAGCGTGCTCTATACATAGTATGCAGAACCAATTGCATTTTGTCTTGCCCGTCTTTACTTGCTGGTTTACTTTTCATGCAAATTTGTCCTAGTTTACTTGTTGTACCAAGTATTAAACATGAGCCTAATTAGATTGTTGTTTAATTCTGTCAAGCTAAGGTTTCTGCTGTGTGTACTGTTTCAAGTTGTAAGCCATCGTAATTACTTTACCCATTGACTTATCCATCCCTTTGCTTAGTAAAGAATTAAGGCTCGGTACCCGTTTTTGAATTTTGAGAGAATGAATTAAAACCAGGCTGTATTAGTAACGCATATAGTTAATCCTATGATGGCAAAACTGCATGACACAAGAATGTGAACTTTGGTGTTTACTGCCTTATGGACCTCTTCAGTCAAGAATCACAAGTGTGTTTCGTTGCATTGCAAAACTGCATGACACAAGAATGTGAGCTTTGGTGTTTTAGTTGCATTGCATTTAAAAATACCCTCAAAATTAAGTGGGAGACTTCCTTTAGCTGTTTATTTGGCACTTCATTTTTTCTGTTAATGAGTTACATGGTGGATGATGTAAAAATTTTGGTGTCAGGGAGTCAGACAAGGACAATAGCCATGGGGACTAAATTATATGCAATGCTTAACAAAACTTGAAGTGCATGTTGAGATAACTTGAACTACATAAGGTTCACTATCATGTTTTGCAAAACTGCTGAACCTCATGTTTTCCATGCCGCCAAACAGCTCTACTAACTAATGAATCATGTGGTAATCCTCTTTCTTTCCCTCCCCCACACCATAAAAAAGAAATAGGGTTCTTGTTGGTGGAAGATATTAGATGGCTAAGAATAAATTTAAATGGTGGGAAATTAAAGTGAAGTCCTTGTTCTGATTTTGGTATCTGTATTGTTATTTGTTTCCCACCTAATATTGTGCATTGCCTTGTACAACAAACTTCTGTGGGACTTGTATTTCATTACAGTTTCTGCTCAATATTATCAAACACGAGACACCTTGATGGTTTTGCCCTGCTTTTTTCTTCTGCGTTGGTAGTTTGCTGCCTTACTGGTCATACGAATTCGCCCTAGTTTACTGGCTCTACCATTTCATGGGATATGTTCATAAATGTTAAAGTTGAGCCCAATTGGATAGTTTATTGCTGGCAACGTAAGATTTTAGCGGTGCGTAAACCTCCTAATTACTACCTCCGTCCCAGAAAGGATGCAATTCTAGAATAGTATTCAATCAAACCCTATTAAGTTTGACTAAATTCATATAAAAATACTAATATTTATTATATTAAATATGTATCATTAGATTCATCATGGAATATATTTTCATAGTATGCCTATTTGAAGTAATAAATGTTTGATACTCAAAGTTAAGATGACTTGGACCAAACCTGGAACTGCATTCTTTCTTGAACGGAGGGAAGTACTTTACTGGTTTGACTTGTCCATCCCTTTGCTTAGTAAATAGTTAAGTGTTTATTAGTGATTGAGTTAAAGTCTGGCTGTCTTGGTGATGATTAGTTGATCCGATGATAGCTGCATTTCATTGAGAGTGTAGTTTTGTTGTTTCCTGCTGGTGGACCTGTTTAGTCTAGAATTGACTGGGTAGTGTCAGTCAGAGTTCCATCAAATATAATAATGGTGTCCGTGCTTCCTTTATAGCTCTTGGTTCAACACTTTGGATGGCCTATTATTGAAGATTTGTATGGTCCAGAATTTTAATGTGAGGGAGGCAGACAAGGACAATAAGACTGTCACATACAATGTTTAGTTGATTACCAAAACTTGAAGTGCTGTCGAGATAGCTTGAACACCCTATATTTGTTGGTTCCTAGGATTCTTGTTGGTGGAACCGTGGAAGATATGTTAATTGGTTGCAGATAAAGTAAATTCATTCATTGTTCTGATTTTGGTGTCCACATTGTTTTATTTGTTTCCCAGTTAGCATACTGAACTTTAGTTTGTGTTCCATTGTATTGTGCATTGCCTTGTACAACAAACTTTCTATGGGACTAGTAGGCGCCCATGCCTTGACTGTTCCTTCTTACTATAGAATTGTGAAAGCAGATGTTGCCACAATGTTGCAATGAGAAATGGATGATATTATGCTTAGCAGCCTCTCCTGCATTCCCTTGGGTTGTTGGTTTGCTGACTGAATCTCAATTTCGTTCGGTTTTGTAGTGGGAAGGAGACAACTGAGTTTCAGATCGAACCGGAGATCACCCTGGAGCTGATGATGGCCGCAAACTACCTGGACACTTGATGAGGAGCCTGACTGCCTGAGGGATCTAATCCTGGTGTGTTATGAAATATGAAAGAACGAAGCAATGGTTACTAGTGAATCTTTCCCTCCCTCCGTCCCCTGGTTACATTACATGATGTATCCAGCATCCACTGGATGAAATGCTTGTTTTTTCACAGATTTGATCCAATCCGGTGTAAGTTTCGCGCAATGTAATGTAACAGTGTAAACACAAGAGGGGGGAGGCAGAAGCCAAGGAATACATGTTGCAATTTAAGGTGTGTGCTACTATCAACTCTTGTAGAATATACACACTCTGTTACTGCTAGTGTTTTGTTGTCTCCTGTGAGGCTATGACTTTGATGTATGTATTACCTGTTGGCGTATGTGCTGGGTGAGTGGGTGACTGATAGTGATAGGAATATGTATATATATAGGTACACACCAGTTACTGTGTGCTTCCTTCTTCGGTTCTTCCTGGACGGGTGCCAGGCACTCTGGAGTTTGGACGACTCCAATGCAAAACCGAACGGAGCCACTTCGGTATAAATAAGTTGGGGAATAAAAGGAGCGAGCATACGACAATAGAGTGGAGAGCCATGATCCAAGAAAAAAAAAAGCGACACCAAACAACCTATGACACGCAAGGTCGCAAGCACATGTTCTACCTAAAAACTTCAGCACCTCTACTTTTTCAGGAGTACATTCTTTTACCAGACATGTATGCCCACATAGGAGTATATGTGAATGTGGTATACTGACATGTACTCCCTCTATTCCAGAACAATAGACATTTTAGGATCTATCACTAATGCTCAAGGTAAAAGACTTTACATGTACTTCTGTTCCAAAAATAGAGATAAAGATGTATTAAGAAAAAAAAGGTGTATTTGAAAGAAGAGAAAGATGCATCGGAAAGTGAGAATGACAACTATTTTATAACAAAATTTAAATGTGATAAGGTCAAGTATTTTGGAACGGAGAAAGTAACTGACAAGATTACGAGTCTATTTGATACACATGACTAGTTACTAGTTGAGGCTAAAAATTAGTCTAAATTAGCTGAGGTAGGCTAGCTAGTTGGCTAATAACTAGTTGAATATTTTGGTTCAAGAATTAGCTCACTTATTGACTATCCTGTTTTGATGCACTATAGCTAATTTAGTCTAATTTGTTAGCTAGCCCTTAACATGCCCTACAAAGAGTCATGGGTCACGCATTTACACATTTGAGCAAGGACAATGGTATAATTCTTAATAGCCCGTCATCTTTTTTTTTCTTGGGACAATCATATGGTTGTTCAGCTGATAGTTTTTGTGGCTGATAAGCTGACTGATGTTGTTTTATTGTGAGAGAAAAACACTATACCACGGCTGATAAGTTCAAGCGAACAGGGCCACACATAAGAGCAAGTGCACAGGTGCCAAATCTTGGGAACAATTTCTTGGGCCTGCATAAGAGCAAGTACAATAATAGTTTTATGGTTCATACGGAAGAGAAAAGAACCGAGGGCTTGACTATCATGGTACTAGAGGAGTAGGTTTAGACATAGTGAATGTGAGGAGGATTAGAAAAGAGAAAGTGAGACATAGGTAAATAATAATAAAGATGTTTTTTATAGACAAATAAGAGAATTATCTTTTACAACATATTTAGATAGCTTACGTACTGTATTAAAAAGGTAAGAATGGATGCATACTTTGTATTAAAAAAAGGCAATTTGAAACGGAGCAAGAACATATTATTTGTCATCCATGTTGGATATAGGATTTCCTTTTAGGCCTAACCAAACTGCTACAAACTTAGTAATTTTCAGGATTCATTTATGAAACTTTCCCGTACTATCCTTTGTACAGTGAAATGGCCTAACAAATAAAGCTAATGCTCAGGCTCGAGCGTTCGTCTGTCCGGACCTAGAAAAAAAAATCAAATCTCCCCACTTCGCACTCGTCTCCCCACTCCACGCCGCACGGTGTAGCCGCCCACCCCACTCTCCCGCGCCACGGCCGCCATCCCCTGTGGCGCCTCCATCTCGTGTCACGGCCCACTCTGGCGCATCGCCGCCGCCATCCCCCGCGCCCCATCCCCGTGGCACCTCCGTCCCCTGTCGTGCCATGCCGTGCTCCATCCTCCGCCGCACCTAGGCCAGGCGGCCAAGAGAGGAGGCCGTTGCTAGCCGGGCCCAAGCCAAGCGTAGGCGCAGCTGGCAGCTGTCATGCCGCACTACCATCCTCGGCTGCCGGCTAGCCGGAACCAGCCGCTCCCCCGCTTTGTGTTGCGTCATACGAAAGAAGGGTGAAAAACATATGTTGCAAGCCTATGTTTCCAGTGTTTTAGATGTTTCGTAGGTATGTTGCAAGTGTTTCATATGGATGCTGTAAAAGTAGATCGAGATATTATATATGTTGCAAATGTTTGTTCAAAATGTTTCATCTATTTTCAGACGTATGTTTGCAAACGTTTTATTTTTGATGTTGTATATGTTTCACACATGTTGCAAGAGTGTGTTTTAATGATTTCAGTTGTTTCAGCAAGTGTTTTCATGTTGCAAGTGTTTTATCTAGATGTTGCATCTATTCCATACACGTGTTCAAGTATATGTTTCAAATATTCCATCTACTTCATACATAAGCGTTTCATGTTGCAAGTGTTTCATATTTCAGAAGTGTGATTAGAGTCATAAGGCATAGCTTGACACCAAGGGATAGGGCACGGCGAGTCGGATGCCCGCAGATCCACGGGCACACTGGGGGCAGCGGTCAGGGGCGTGGCGCGTCTAGGGTCCTACAAACACATGCTCGTCCCCATCCCAGCTCCCGAGTCCCGCCCACATGGAGAGAAGCCGCAGGCGCATCGACAAGGGTAGGGTGAGGTGTACAAGGGCAGGCTTCAGAAAATAATATGCTACCGGAAGCAAGCAAACTGAATCGGCCTCATGGCTCAATTTCATTTGTTCATTCTCACGAGACTGCAACCAGGGGAACAGAATCAGGGCTACACGTAGTCAGTTGGTGTGTAAATCATACAAAAAAAAACTAAAACCAGTTCTTATTTGCTACCACATCCAGTCCGCTACGCAGAAAACTCCCATCGAACCTCTTATTTAACAAATCACAATATGGAGACTGCAGGCTGCTCCAGGGCCACTGAACTTTAAGAACAAAAATAAGTAAAGGCCGCATCTCTATAACACAGCACCGAGTTCCAGCATCAAAGTGTGGTTCGAGTCATCACTTCCAGGGCCACTGAACTGGATGGGGCCTACCATGACAATGATATGTGAGTTAAACTGTATGTACGGGGCCACTAAAGACTAAACTGGATGATCATTGCTAGCAATTTCATTTCCACATACCAGGGCTGATGTATCTGTTCTTGATGGCCCACTCATCCCGCATTGATGCATATTTCTTGAAAGGTGCAGCTGGAAATTGAAGTCACAGGACATCAGATTTGGAAAAAAAGGGCATAGGTCCAAAAAAAAACGTCATAATCATCAGTAAATCAAGCAAACATTCCAGAGTTCTTCGTACCATCAAGTTCCACCATAGCCTTCTTGATCACTGGCTTGAACTTGCCTGATTGCAGAGAACAATGTCAAAAGTTACACTCGAAGTGACAAATGATGCAGCACAAGTTATAGCCAAAATATAAATGCTAATCAACCCAAAAGGGAACAAGACTGGCATGTCACACATTGGTTGCTACTTGAATAAACATCAAGAAGAATGTTACTAGAACACAGTAGAGTAGCCGTCAGTTGGAAACAAGGTGAAGCAAGAAAATTACCGTGCCTCCTCTCGACATCCATCAGTGATGTCAATGGTGTTCCACCAACAGTCCATTCTTCTACTGGAGCTGCAAGGTTGCCAACCTGAGCCAAGAAAAAAAAGAGTACAGCAATCAAAACATGCAAGTACATAAGATCAGCCACAATCACATTGTAAAAGGTCTCCCAGGTACTCCTAATACTGTAGGTGTCTGTTTGCGAATTTCTCATGTGTCTACATGCCATGACTTTGTATTTGTAACCACTTCGCAGCGCAAGGTGAAATCAAATGTAAAAATTTGCTAGGCAACTTTGAATATTGGGATGGTCATGTTTACATAATTGAACACTGGTGCCTATCTTTTACAAGGTACAGTGCAGGTATGCCTCATTTGAGTAAGTCGCATAAGTTGAAAAGATCAGTAGTCATACAGACGAAATAAGTCCTGTCTTCCCAGTTTGGAGAAGGGCACCAGCACCATAGCCTAATGCATAGCAATAGTTAGAATCAAAGTTAGTTGGAAGGCCGCATCTTCCTTCGTACCTGCAAATAACAAAGAAGCTGCATGAGATAAGAGTTGGAGAGAAGAGATTTGGAAATGCAATATTAAGATTTGGAAATGCAATATTAATAAAAAAAAACCACCACAACGAGATGGCATTCCCTGGCTTTGTATTAAAAAAAAGTGGAGTATACCCAAAACCCTAGCTGGCCAATTCTCAGGGGTGGCAGCCTCAGTGGGAGACTACCTACCAACCAAGTTATCGCTCAGTTCACAAAATGCAAAAAAAATAACGCTTACCCAAAGAAATGAGCTTGTCCTCTGAAATGTGCAGAGTATCTCCCCTCAGCTTTTCTCTTCTCAAGTTCAGTTTCCACCATGCTAATAAGCATTTTCTCGGTTTCAATTTTTGCAACCTGAAATAACGAGACTAGTGAGCATGTCTAGCTTTACTGATATCCTTTCAGCAGAAATAATCCTATCAGAAGAGACCAAGAAAGTTAAGATGGTTAAACAATATTCCCAGTCTTTACCTGAACATTGCCATGGGGATCCCTTTCAAGCATAAGTTGCTCCTGAATAGTTTTGGGCAAAAACTCAAACAGCTCATTTGATTCAGGCTGAAGCTTGCTTTTCCAGGTCCCTGCCTCATCAACAACATCATGTGCCAAAATTTCATTCAATTCTGCGATGAGTTTTTGAACCTACAAAAGAAAAGGAGTGATGTCAGTAATATATTCTATGGCAACACAAAGTCACAGAACATAAAGAGAGTCAAACCTCTGGGATGAAATCAATCAGGCCTTCCGGTATAAGGATAACACCATAGTTGTAACCAAGATCTGCACGCTTGCAGATGATATCAGTAATGTAGTTTGTGACGTTCTTAAGGGTTTGCTTCTTTGCAGCAACCTACAATGGCAAAAAAGACGTTATTTGTGAAATAATGATGCACAGAATTATGAACAAACAATTGAAGCCATAATGTAAGAAAATGTAACCTATCAGATAGACAAAAATCTAGTCTGCTAACTTGTTCTTTAGATTCCATAGTTTGAGAAGATGTACAAAAAAACTGTATTAATAAAGAGTAAATTTAACTCCGCCTATGTTGTCTCAACATAGTAGGTCCCAAGCCCTGGTAAAGGGGGGGTTGTGATAGGCGTGGACGAGCCAACGTTAAATCTAGTCATTCTAATGGAGAAGAAACCCGAAAGAAAATCGTTGGGACGTAACCCTCTTAGCGACGCGTCATATCGGAACCCGGGTATGGTGTTAAATGGGCAAGGGCCGGGTCGGCACCCCCTTGGTGACGCGCCGTGTCGCGATCTGGGCATGGTGTCAAGTGAGCAAGGATCGGGCCGTCGCTTCCTTAGTGGCGCGCTGCATCAGCACCCGGGTGTAGTGAAAAATGAGCGAGGGTCTTCACATCTGAGTCGACGGGGTGCGAAGGGTAAGGAAGCTAGTCGAACCAACTAGGATCCGTTTAGGTAGTTGGAATGTAGGATCGCTTACATGTAAGTTAAGAGAATTAGTTGATACGGCGACTAGGAGACGTGTAAATATATTATGCGTTCAAGAGACTAAATGGAAGGGTTAGAAGACGAAGGAGGTGGACAATACATGTTTCAAGTTTTGGTACACAGGGACAGTCGCGAATAGAAATGGAGTAGGAGTTTTGATTGATAAGAGCCTCAAGAATGGTGTGGTGGGAGTGAAAAGGCAAGGAGATAGGATTATCTTAGTCAAGCTTGTCTTTGGTGATATGGTCTTGAACGTAATTAGTGCGTATGCGCCCCAAGTAGGCCTCGACGAGAGTGCTAAGAGACAGTTTTGGGAAGACTTAGATGGCCTGATTAGAGCTGTACCTAGTAGTGAGAAGCTTTTTATAGGAGATCGTAATGGGCATGTAGGTACTACAAGCGCAGGTTTCGAGGCAGTTCATGAAGGTTTTAGGTATGGTAGTAGGAATCAGGAGGGGGAGGAAGTTCTGGACGTCGCGGTAACTTTTGACCTGATAATAGCCAACACTTTCTTTAGAAATAGAGAATCTCATCTAGTGACCTTCTGTAGCGAACAACACTCTAGCCAGATTGACTTTGTCCTCGCAAGAAGAAAGGACAAACGAGCATGCTTGGGTTGCAAGGTGATACCAGAGGAGTGTGTTGTTTCTCAACATAAGCTTTTGGTGGCAGACTTTCGTTTTCAGGTGCGTGCCCGTAGGGATAAAAAAGCTATAAGATTGAAAGAACAAAGTGGTGGAAACTAAAAGGAGAGACGTCAGAGGTATTCAGGGAAATGGTTATCAAAGAGGGCTCTTGGAAGGAAGAAGTGGACATAAACAATATGTGGGAGAAGATGGCAACAACATTCGGAAGGTGGCCTTAGAGGTGTGTGGAGTAACCAGAGGAAGTGGGGACGAGGCTAAAGATACTTAGTGGTGGAACGAGTAAGTCCAAATGGCTATTAAGGAGAAGAAAGAATGTTATAGACGCTTGTACCATGACAGGAGTGTGGACAATATAGAGAAGTACAAGGTGGCAAAGAAGACTGCAAAACGAGCTGTAAGTGTGGCAAATGATAGAGTGTACGAGGATCTTTACCAACATTTGAGTACGAATGAAGGAGAGAAGGACATTTATAAGATGGCTAGGGTTCGTGAGAGAAAGACAAGGGACTTCAACCAAGTTAAGTGCATTAAGAATGAAAGGGAGCATCTCTTGGTGAAGGAGGATGAGATCCGACATCGATGGCAAGAGTATTTTGACAAATTGTTCAATGGTGAGAATACGGACACAACATTTCAGTTGGATGACTCTTTTGATGACACCAATAGGCGCTTTGTGCGGAGAATCCAAGAATCTGAGGTCAGAGAGGCGTTGAAAAGGATAAAAGGAGGTAAGGCGATGGGACCGGATGGTATCTCAATCGAGGCGTGGAGATGCCTCGGGGACATAACTATAGTATGGCTAACCAAGCTGTTCAACCATATTTTTCGATCGAACAAGATGCCTAACGAGTGGATGAGAAGTATATTGGTACCGATCTACAAGAATAAAGGGATATTCAAAGTTGTACTAATTACCGGGGAATTAAGTTGATCTGCCATACTATGAAGCTATGGGAGAGAGTTATCGAGTATCGCTTGAGAGCAATAACGCGGGTCTCTATGAACCAATTTGGTTTCATGCCCGGAAGGTCAACCATGGAAGCCATTTTCTTAATAAGACAAGTTATGGAGCGGTATAGGGAGAAGAAGAAGGACCTACACATGGTTTTTATTGACTTGGAAAAGGCTTATGATAAAATACCAAGGAATATTATGTGGTGGACTTTCGACAAACATAAAGTTCCAACGAAGTATGTCGGGCTCATTAAGGACATGTACAACAATGTTGTGACTAGTGTTCGAACAAGTGATGAAGACACGGATGACTTCACGATTAGAATAGGACTACATCAAGGGTCAGCTTTGAGCCCTTATCTGTTTGCCTTAGTGATGAATGAGGTCACAGGGAACATACAAGGGGACATCCCTTGGTGTATGCTTTTCGCGGACGATGTAGTGCTAGTTGATGAAAGCCGAACAGAAGTGAATCAAAAACTGGAGTTATGGCGGGAGACTTTGAAGTCCAAAGGTTTTAGACTCAGTAGAACTAAAACTGAGTATATGAGATGTGACTTCGGCACTACTACTCGGGAGGAGGAAGATATTAGTTTGGAAGGTCAAGTAGTGCCTAGGAATGATACCTTTCGATATTCAAGATCAATGCTACAGAGAGACGGGGATATGGATGAAGATGTTAACCATAGAATCAAAGCAGGGTGGATGAAGTGGCGCCAAGCATCTGGTGTCCTATGTGACAAAAGAGTACCACAGAAGTTAAAAGGCAAGTTTTATAGGACGGCGATTAGACCTGCTATGTTGTATGGCGCAAAATGTTGCCTACGAAAAGACGACATGTTCAACATATAAGTGTCGCGGAAATGCGTATGTTGTGTTGGATTTACGGTCATACAAGAAGGGATCGAGTTCGGAACGATGATATACGTGATAGATTAGGGGTAGCACCAATTGAAGAAAAGCTTGTCCAACACCGGTTGAGATGATTTGGACATGTCCAACGGAGACCTCTAGAAGCACCGGTGCGTAGTGGAATCCTAAGCCAGGATAGTAACGTGAAGAGAGACAGAGGAAGACCGAAGTTGACTTGGATAGAGGCAATAAAAGGAGACTTGAAATGATAGAATATACCTAAAGACTTAGCCTTAGATAGGAGTGCTTGGAAAACAGCTATTCACGTGCCTGAACCTTGATTGTTTTTGCTAGGTTTCAACTCTAGCCTACCCCAACTTGTTTGGGACTTAAAAGTTTTATTGTTGTTGTTGTAATAAAGAGTAAATTTGAACTAGAGGGAGTATCTGATGGTGCAGATGTGCACAAACTCAATCCCGTCCATGTGTGCAAAAACTCAATCCCGCCCATGTGATCCAATCTGAATGGCCCAGTTAAGAGGTGATAATCCCCTCATCTTCTCAATCACCTTTGCTTTTAATTCCCCAAATCGAATTGGGCCTCAATCAGCCAGAGGGATGGGAGGATACTCACCTCTCACCTAGGGCATTCAGATTGGATAAGATGGATGAGATTGAGTTTGTGTACATTTGCACCAATATGTTCTTGTGCAGCCAATACTCCCTCTTTGAACCCACAGAACTAACTACTTTAACATGTATCACAGAAGGCCAACTATTTTGACACTTGGAACCACAAACCTACAACTGATTTAACACGTATCACAGAACTACAACTATCTTGACACTGAGTAGTTACGAGAAAGTTGGTAGGTACCAAATGCCAAAGCCGTTGTAGTTTAATGATATATGTCAAGATAGTTCTGGTTCTGTGGGTATTAGGTCAAATTAGTTGTAGTTCTGTAAATTTACTCTAAACAAAATATGTATACTTGCGCAAAGACAATTACACTCTCCTTTTGTGCCATTATATATGTATCTAATATGGCTAGATAAAGGCGGGAACATCCAATCATGCTAATTCCATGTAGAAAGAACTTTGCATGTAAGAAATACCAACCTCTTCCCCAATGAGTGCAGCATTGGGGTGTGTTTGCAAAGCGCATTCCAATGTAATGTGAGAAGCAGCACGACCCATAAGCCTCACAACTGGAAGAGCAAGTTCTTGTTAGAGATTTTATTGCAAAAAAAAGGCCAAAAATGTTAAAATGTGCCATCTGAAGTCCCATTCTATACTATCAACATTCATGGATTACATGTTAGCACTGCTTTATAATGTCAAAAAAATGTTCCATGGCATCACATGGTGTGGATGTTTTTCCAAATGTTCCAATAGGATGCAAGATAAACTTACTAGTCCATAATTATTAAATGACAACCTATTTTGTTGCTGCTGATAAACTTACAGTGGTAGTATTTTCCTGTTGATCTTGCATCAGTCATAACATTGCCAATCATTTCGGAGTATATCTGAAAAAAGATGATTCTTTGTCATGATATATTCATGATGGGTTTTCAAATGCATCTGTGTAGGATGCCTTAGTTTCTCAAATTGAAAGAATGCTTGAGCAGGTGTGCCATCACCATTGTAGCTAATTAAAAATCCAGACTAAGATTTGCATGCATAATACTGTGAGACGAGCACAAGGATGAAGAATTAGGTACCTTGCAAGCAGTATCAAACCCAAAGCTTGTTGGAACCTCCTTACATTTCAGATCTCCATCGATAGTCTTTGGGCAACCGATAACACGGGTCTTCATGTTCCTTGACCTATGAAGCAAAGTTCATAATTTGAAAGCATAATCTTGATTTGCTTGTGAATAAGAAGAAAAAGAAACAAACGACGCAATCTTATATTCACAAGTCAGACTTATATTGAAAGGCCAAAACATAGTGTTAGCAGCCAACCTAAAGTATTCACCAAGGAGGCAGGCATTGGTGTTTGAATCATCACCACCAATGACAACAAGTCCATCCAAATCAAGCTTGTTGGCTGTGTCTTCAGTTTGTTTGAACTGCACAACCAACATAGGTAGTTGAGAAAAAATGATCGAGATTAGGCAATCCAGTAGCAAAGTTTTTCCATAAGCATTTGCACATAAACATGGCCAGAGCCCAGAGACATACCTGCTCCGGTGTTTCAATCTTGTCCCTTCCACTGCAGATCATATCAAATCCGCCCTGTCAAAAAGAAATAAAATTGAAATGCATCATGCATCATCAAAAGGAAATAGTATATATATAAAGAAGTTTCGTACTAATCAACTCATTACAGTCTGTCAAGCATGTAAGAGTAGGAAATTCAATGACCGATAGTTCATTACTACAAACGTTAATTTGCTGCACGCTTTGTTAGTAATAATTTTGCAAAAAACATTAACAGTGGATGACACATAAGAAACGCATTTGCAACACAAAAGGCCTACTCCAAAATCTTACCTAATCCTAACAGGCAAACAAACATGATTTAAACAAAGTAAGCATTATTAAAATGTTCATGTTAGCTGTACCTGGTTTCTGTAGGGATACACAAAGTCTGAAGTGAGCTCCACATACTTGAACTTCATGATCCCAGCTGGGCCTCCCTTGAATCCATACAAGGTGCTGCCTTTTGCACGCTCCTGCAGGTAATCTGATCCAACCCACACCACAAAAGTCAAACACAAGAATTGCTTCAGGAAATTCAAAACACAGCCAAACTCTTTCATTGTCTACTCAATTGTATGCAAATCCAAAAGAAGATTCACTCACTTCAAAAAAAAACAAATGAAATCAGTCAATTTAGCCTCATCATACTACCAAAATGAAATCAGTCAATTTAGCCTCATCATACTACCAAAATTCATTGAGATCTACAGCTGCGCGAGTTCACTGGGACCAAATTTAAAGACACTACATTACTGGAAAAAAAACAAGGAGTACTCTTTAGATCTCCACCTGACTGAACTACCCTTCCTTGAATCTACCATCAACCTCAAATCGCCTCCATTAGCACAAAGACAGCTAGACCTTGGCAATTTCGGTGATTGAAAAGCTCAGGAAGCCAACGCATACTCACCAAAGATGCCGCAGATGACATTGTGGCCGCCCGGCGCCTGTCCACCGGAGAGCACGACACCGACCTTGAGCGGCCTGGTCGCCGCGGGCTCGGCCGCCGGCACCAGCGACACCGAGGGCTGTCCAAACAGGTTGGGGAAGAGCTTGGCGATCTCATCTGCAACAGATCGATCGAGCCAGCCAGCCGCAAACCTGGTGAGCTCGATGAAATCCGTGGCAAACCACATGCAAGGACCCGAGATCCGAAGTTACGGCAGCGTTGGACGGTCGGTCACTCACCAGGGTTGCCCGCGGCGGAGCTGGCGGGGCCGTCGACGACGGAGAAGTTGGAGCGGAGGACGGAGGGGAGGGGCAGCGCGTGCAGGAGCCGGTTCGTCTGCACCTCGCTGTACACGGAGGCCAGACGGCCGGGCGTCGGCCCGCCGTTCGCGGCCACCGCGCCGCCGTTGGACGTCACCGCCGCCGCCGCCATGTTTCCGTCCGGTCTCGGGAGAGCGGAGAGTGTGTTTCGCTGATCTGGGTCGTCTTTGAATCGGTTCGGGAGGAATATGCCGTGGGCGAAGCGAAGGGTCCGTCGCCGTCGCGGGGGTTTTATGGGGGTAGGCCGGGACTCGGGAGGGTGCGCGAGTGCGTGAGGCGATGGCGATCGGGTCGGGTGGGCCCGTGGGTGCGTCGGGGTTGGCGAGCCCCTGGGTTCGTGTCGTGTTCCGCGGTTTGGTGACTTCGGTCCAGGCGGCGCCGCGGCAGACAGAGGGGCCGGTGACCCGGTGTGGAGACCGGAAGTTTTGCTGGTTTTGCAGTGGGGCACCCGACAAGGCTCTCTGTACTGGTGGTTGATTACGAAGTTTTTCTGAGTTTATATTATATAATATCTGCACAGATGAGAGAATCCACTGTCTTTGTCTGGCCTGTCTCTTGGAACCTCGGTTGGCCGTGGTATTTTACGGCTGCAGGTCGATGTCGCTGCCGCTCGCCTGCTCGTTGTTTTCCGGCTGATCGACGTGCCATCTCGTGTGCTGCCGAGCTCGTGATAGACCAGCCTCTCTTAGCCTGGCGGAACGTAGGCATCACAAACATTTGATAGGGGCTGAGGATATCGTTTAGAATGGTTGTCAAATCAAACACTACAACACAGAGAAACGTCTTAAGCAAAATTATTTGGAACCGTTTCTTATTCTTTACTAGTTCAGATAAACACCCTAGAACCTGGTTTCTCTCGATTCTATGCTAGTTTTAGGAATCCAGTGAGCTATTCAAATGGTTTCACGAAGTGGTTATAGGCCTGCTTGTTTCTGGTGTAGCCTCGCTTAACTTGTTGCGTCGGCACGAGAAACGAGCAAACCATATCTTGCTTGCACGGTCTTCGAAGCGTCAAGCAAGAGAACCAAACAAACAACGTCTCTTGCTATCCTTGTTGAGCAATGTGTAACAGTTTTTGCCAGAAGGGCCAAACAAGTCCTATGATTCAGCCAAGAAACGTTTCTAAGGAGAATATAGATCTGAAACGCTTCTAGGAGAGTCCAGATCCCTACCAAACGTACTAAAATTGTTACAGCATCATGTAGGAGTGGCTAAACATCTTAAATTGGGTTGGGTTGTTGGTGCTAGCCGAGGTAGGTGTCGGCTTGAGTTGGTGTCTAATAAAAATACATGAGTCTCTGAAAAGCAAATAGCATAACTCTTTCCCCATTCTTTTTTGTTTTATGTTCTTCTTCTTCTATCCATTGTCAAAAGTCATTGTGATCCTCGGTAGGATTGTAACATAAATGCATTCGGATGCCACGATGTTCTTTGCTTGCTTTTTCTTTGTGTCTCTCTAAGAGTGGCATTCTTTTCTTAGACTTACTATTATTACTTTTCGAGTAACTTTAATGGGTGTAGGGTCGAGGTGGCCGATCAGAGAGGGTGAATACTTGTTTCTAAACTTAATTGCGTATGCTAACCAAAACTAATGTGGAATTAAACTATACGGTATATCTTCGACTACACCCCTCTATTTATATTGTCAAAACACTTTACAAAAAGATCATAAGAAAGGTATATCTAAGGTATCGAGCCAGTAGGAGCTCTCTTACACATTTTTAGTTGGCAAGCTTACACATTTTTAGTTGGCAATCACACAAACCTATGCAACTAGTCAAACAAGCAACTGGGAGCTCCTACACATACTAGTGAGCATACAAGCACTAAACACAAGCTATACTAGCACTACTCAACTAGTTACACTACACAAAATCACAACTAGAGAGCAACTACTTAACTACACAAAAGCAACTACACTAGCACAAGATATTAGCAAGTAAATAAGCTAGTGTAGGGGATGCAAACTGAGCGGGATCAAATAGATGTTATAATGATTTTTTATCCTGAGGTTTGGTAGTTTACCAACTACTTAATCCCCATTGACACAAGCCTAAGGTTGTTGTCGATCCTCTTGCTAGTGGCAAGCTCGCAAGCTTGCACTCACCCCTTGAGGTGTGCTCCCAACATGGGCCATAGCACTTGATCTGTTCGGACCACTTGACGCTCTTCACACCTCACTTCTATTAGAGTTGCTCTTAGCGATCTTCCGCGGGGACGAGCACAAGAGCCCGTACAATGTCTTCTCCAGAGCCTCGCACAATCTTCTTGACCCAGGAGTTTGCTCTTCGCGAGAGGGTTTTGTCGGACGTGACTCTGCGGACCTCTGCATGACCCAAGAGTTAGCACCACGTTGGTCGAGAGGACAACCCGAGGTGCTAGCTCGATGGGCCAGGGCAAAACCCTCGCAGCGGTCATTCATTACATTTGCAGACCTAGTGGTGTGCCTGTGAGCCATGGAGGTCTGATTGGCCAAGCCTAACATCTACTTCCACTATTCAAAAGCATGTTTGGACAGATCTGGCAGTCAGACCTCACCCTTGGGCGGTCAAACCGCTGGGTCATTTTCAGCCTGACCACTACTCTGTAAAACAGCCATAACTCATAGCTCTAAAGTCCAATTTCGATGATCTTGAACTTTTTGGAAATCTTATTCAAAGGGCTACACATCTCACTTGAATATTTGATCCAAAACATAATGGATCAATACAGAATACAATCCCACGGTTAGGTGCACATCAAAAACCTTTTTCCAAAGCATGCCAACTCCAAATGATCTCCCAGGGGATGATCAACACCTTTAAGCCTTTAGCATTTTCAAACTATTTTTCAAAGGTTTTTCTATCAACTTTCAAACCACTACTCGTCTCTATTTGCAACACAAAGGATGAAACGTTCCCATGGTGCATTAGGGTTACCATGGACTGTTTACACTTAGGCATGACCAACATGTTTTGGTGGATTGTCTACCAGTATCTGACAAATTGACCGTCAACCTACACGAAACTTTGCATAAACATCTTTACCCCCGTCATAGCCAACAGACTATCCGTGAAAACATAGATTAGTTGCACTTATTTCTCACCTATCCATGGAGTTAGTAAAACACCCTACCCCTTGGTCACAACCAACCTTAGTGCACACCCGGGTAGTGCCCCTAAATCCTCCTCATGTAATTTTAATCACGGTTTCCCTAAAGTCCTATCAACGTGTACCATCCCTTTTGACAAGTATCATCGACTCCCTCGACTAGAGAAAAAGCGATTTTTTTTAATTTTAACACTTTTTAAAAACTAATTTTAAATCTAATACCTCCGATTTTTTTTAAAAAAAACTAACACTTTTGGCCGCGCCTATTTCCCTGGCGCGGCCAAATGCCTGTGCTGCGCCATGCATGGTGGCGCGGCATAGGGCTGACGTGGCGGCGATTAGGAATGCCGATCACGACGGCGAGAACTGCTGCGCCAACGATCTTGCTGCAAGAAGATGCGCTGCGCAAGGGTCATGGCGCGTCTGGGACAAATAAAAACCCATGGTCAGCCCCGGGCGCCGACGCCCGCCGCCCGTGTCGCCATTAGCCGATGCGTCGCCCGCCGCATGCCATGCCATCGCCTTGGCGCCGCTGCGCCCACGCCCGCCGCGCCCACCGTGACCTCGCCGGCAAGGCCGCCACCACTCCGGCCAGCCTTGCCCCCGCGCCCTCCAAGAAGACGCGGCCGGTCGCGCCACGAACCCCGGTGCGTCAAGGCCGCCCGCTCCTAAGGTACCTTCCTCTCGGTTTAATGTTATTATGATTATTATTGTTTTAGGATAATTAGTTTGTGATATACGTATGTAGTTTTTAGGTTTTAGGTTAGGATTTTGGGTTTAGTGATTGATTAGGTATTTATTATTTAGCTTGTAGTTATTTATTTAGTTAGGGATTTTAGCGATGCGGTTGTCACTGCTAGATTGGATTATTATTTAGTTTATAGTTAGTTATTTAGTTAGGGATTGTAGCGAGCCGGTCGAGGGATCGTATTCCATTCGAACGTTTCGATCGTGGGTTCATCCTGCCGTGGCCGTAACGCTGAGCGTAACTGGCTCCCTCGCTTCTTGGTTGGCTTTGTCGTACTACGATCTCTAGCCTCTATCCACGTCCCTAGCACATGACCATCGGGCTTTACCTCTTTTGCACGCTTGTTTATTCTAGCCTTGTGCCGATTTATTTTGGGTTAGAGTAAATATTTTACTTTGCAATGCTATATAATGTTAATTTGAATTTTGTTAATTTGAGTACTCTAACGCTTTGTTTATCAATTTGTAACAGGATGACCGATCCCATGCAGTACCCGTTGTACCCCATTCTTGAGGTGGAGTACGACGACCAGCACCGAGCACACATCTTGAGTGACAACGACGCAGAGGTGGCCTTGCCTCTTTTGAGGCCCCGCACGCACACCAGGGCGCACCAGTGGGACGAGCGTTACGCGCTGTACATACGGCGTGCCGGCTTTCTCGAGCTTGTCCGTGTTGTCAACCACGGTCTTCTGCCCCTTGATCCAGCACTACTTACTGCAGTTGTAGATAGGTGCGAGTGCATTCTTTGTACGTAAACTTTCTTGTAATAAATTTCAGGCAACTAACAGTCATTCTATTCTATTCTTATAACAGGTGGAGGCATGAGACCCACACGTTCCACCTACCTTGTGGCAAGATGACCTTGACGTTGCAGGACGTGAAGGCTATTTTAGGCCTTCGGTTGGGGGGACTTCCAGTGACAGGGATTGTTGACAACGATCACTGGAGGGAGCTGGTGGCTCAGTTTACTGGCTTTCTTCCACCGGACGACGAGGCTTCCAAGAAAAATAAGTGAGAAAGTCAAGCCTATTTAATATTTGCATCGGTTTCCTACAGCCATCGGGTCTCATTTTCTTTGGTAAATTTCAGGAAAACTTATGGTGTTTTGTCGTCCTAGATCACGGAGCGCTTTGATTACTTGGACCCACAGGCTGAGGAGGCTCAGATCGATAGGTTCGCTCTAGTGTGGCTCTAGCACTTTCTTGGTGCTTTCCTCTTTCCAGACGCCTCGGGCAACACCATCAGCTGGATCTTCCTTGACATACTACGCCA